GTTTGAACTAGATGATCTTTAAGGTCCCTTCCCACCCAAACCATTCTATGATTCTATATTGCTCACCACCCGCCCACCAAGCCCGGGCCATTCCCAGATAACGGTCCCAGAGGAGCGACAATCCCGAACCGAAACCGCAATCCTGGGAGAGCGAGAGCCCGAGCGAAAGCCAGAGAGAGCAAGAGAGGAAGAGCCCCTCATGAATGTCCTGCCCATGGGGGACAGGAGATGGAACAGCCCATTGGCAGAGCCCAATGCCAACTGAGCTGATTCATTTCAATATTCCTCATCGCCCCCTTAAATCTTGCACTTGCAGACTGACAAAACACAAAGTCCTTCACCCCCAGTGACACAAATGCCAACATGGGGATGTTCTCAGCGTTTCTCTCCTAACAAATCCCAGCTGAACCCAAACCCCAGCGCTGTTCTGGCTGCTGAACAGAAACCAGCTCTGCCCCAGCTCAAACCAGGACATAGTGCAAAATGATCTTGGTAGATAATGCAGACTTCAGAAACCCCAAATTGACTCTTCTGCCTTTTAACGTGGGAATCTGCAGGCACAATTTATTCTTGGGTAGCAGCAACTGTCTCCTGTTGCTGCTTCCTAGAAATATTTTGATAGGCATCAAAAGAAAATTGTTTTGGAGAATCCCAAGAACTATACTATACCCTTAAAAACAGCTGTGGTATCCTGTTCTTGGGCAGCGTTTGAAGATGGCCACCCTTGATTTACATGCTGCTTCTGGCTCTGTTCAGTTTATTTGGAGCCTTTGAGGACAGCAGTTTGCTTTTCAGAGTTTATCACTTCTCTTGAGTATGAATGTCTAAGGATGAACTTGTGGAAGAGTTGGGTGAAAGAGCTAGTGTAGCTTAGGACATAATGTTGTGTTACTCATGTTCCTTGCTTTGATATTAAGGGAAAATCATTCTTAATTCGAAATGTATCATTTTCTAGTGGAGGTCTTGCTGATAATATTTTAAAGGAAAGACATTTTTATCTTTATTTCATGTTTTCCTAGGTACTTCTTCAAATGTTCTAAGTGGAAGAAGTCAGCATTGCTTATGCATTCATAGCTTATTTAACTGCTGCATGTGCAGAGGCACCACACAGTTATCTGGGTGTGTGAGACAGAGCTACTTCCTAAATTATGCAGAAGTGATTCTTATAAAGATCATGTTTCTGTGGGTTCATAAAAATGTCAGTGACTTTTTTTGATGTGTGTTGAGTTGATTGGTGTATAGCATCTGGGGATTTCTGATTTAATTTAATGCCTAAGTTAAAAATATGCAGGAACTTGCTGGTGGTTTTGCTCAAGGCATTTGTAATAGTTCCTCCTAAAGTTTAAGAAAAGGGAAGGAAAAAAAAAAAAAAAAGAAAAAAATTATCAGATTTTTCCCTCCCCCTTCCCTGGATTATTTTTCATGAGTTTATCATGCTGAACTGGCTTATCAAGGAGTCGGAAAGTGCCGTGCTGGGGATGAAGGAGCTCTTCACAGCTGAGAGCAGGAAGGGGGATGTGCAAATGGGACTGCGCCTTTGCAGCCGCAGAAATCCCTTACATTGTGTGCAGATCCTCAGTGAGGTTCCTCTGCAGTCATCTCCACAACCTGCTTTTCCTTGGTTTGTGCTGTTCCTCCTTGTGCCTCCTTGGTTTTGCTGCTTACTGCCAGACTTATAGTAAGCTTAATGAAGATTTATCCCCTCTCTAAAGGACCGTTTTCAAACATGAACCTGCACATTGTCATTGTGCCTTTTGTTCCATTTTAGTGAGTATTTAAACAGACATTACCTTTTCAGTCCTTCAGTTTTAAAACACTCGGGGCTGTAGCATCAACTGAGAAGGCACAGTGCTCATGCTTTTTCCTAGGATGAGTAGAACTAGAATTTCTGCCAAAAGCTCAGGGTAGTATTGACTGAACATTCAAGAAATTATTTTCTATCCTATAGTAACTGATTCTGTGAGGTCTTTGTTGTTTAGTGTCTTAGCATATACTCACATACTCTGCACCTCCTCTTTCTGCTGTCTGCTGCTTTGGACTTTGGTGGACAAGCCAGAGGGTTTTTGGAGGTAGGTAGAATCAGTGGGTTCAAGCATGGTCTCAATGAACATATGTATCAGTGGTGAATTATATCTGAATCGTGTGTCGTAAAGAGGTGTGATTTTTTTTTTTTTTATTTTACAGTAGTTAGCTATTTAAAATGGAAATCTAGAGATAACTATAGTCCTTAAGTCAGCTTGCCTCTGTGGAAAAGCTGGTTTCTTTTTCCATAAATGAGGCAATTGACTTCTGGTGAAGGACTACAATTATAAATGTGTACCAAATGTAATGGTTTTCCCTTGTCTGTTTAGAGCTTGAACCCGAAGTAAAATCTCCAATATCTGACAAGAACAGCAGCAAGGCTATATGTAAGTAATTCTGAGTGTGCAACTTACTTTGGGTGTGAAAAATTAGAAAATCACGATGTTCTTTCTGTTTCTGTAGCATTCCCTATGAAAACACTCCCTAGGTAATCTGTACTATTCCCAGTATTTTAGTGGATTTTTTCCTAAGTAATTATTTTAACTGGCAATATACTGGTGAAGAGGAAAAAAACCTATTCCAAGTCTCCTAACAACTATTTTTTTTTATTACATCGAGGGTCTCTGGTTTCTGTATAAAACTGTGATCTGATTTCTTGACTTTAGGATTTCTCTGATTTGCTGTTTTGCTGTTGTTAGTATTGAATGATTTGGATGAGGTGGTTTCTTTTACTCACTCCTTTTCTAGCTGGAAATATCAACTGACTGTGCTCAGCCTCTGTGGCATCCAAAATGTAAACAATTTTGCCAAAATACTTTTTGAAAGCGGTGGAGCGCGTTGCTCAGTTTTCTCTTTATCGCCTACTGTGGTTATCTTTTCCAGGATAATCGCTCTCCACGATGAGCAATTTAAAACTGGGGATGGCATGGGCTACTGCCTCTTCATGCCTCCAGTCCTTCTGCCTGTAGAATCATCAAATCACAGCATGTTGTGAGTTGGAAGGGACCCACCAGGATCATGGTGTCCAACTCCTGTCCCTGCACAGGACAAGCCCAACATTCAGACCATGTGTTTGAGGGCCTTGGCCAAATGCTTCTGCAATCTTGTCAGGCTTGGTGCCATGAGCACCTCCCTGGGGAGCCTGTTCCAGTGCTCCACCACCCTCTGCCTCAAGAACCTTTTCCTCATGGCCAACCTCACCCTCCCCTGGCACATCTTCCTGCTGCTTAGCATGAGCTGAAGGCCAGCATGGCAGACAGCCCTTTGCTGCTGAGGTGCAATGGCAGAATTTTGCCCTAAATTACTGCAATTGAGATTCTTTTGAAAAAGAGGATTAACTGCCCTGTTAATGCTGCTGCATTAAGATGCAGGTTGGGGGGCTGTAATCCATCCATCATAGTCTAAAATCGGGAGGAGAAGCTTAAGCTGTGTGCTCTGGCACATTTGGTCAGTGAGTAAGCACTGCTAGCACCATGCATTTAGGTATTAGTCTCATTTTATTTACTGTATTGGTGTGTGTGTCCTGATGTGCAGGTGGCTCTTCTAGCCCCAACTAGTGAGCCTGTACTGCTTGCGGCCAGGTTTGTCTGTGCTCCCGCTGTGTTTGCAGCAAGGGAGCATGGAGAGAGTCAAGGGGTTGTATGAGGTAGAACCAGCAGGACCACCAAGACCATTTTGGGTAATTCCTGGCTAGCTTTTACCCTTCGATAGGAACCTTCCTTTTGTCCTAGTAAATAAATGTAGGCATCGAGTGGGGCTTGTGGGGCCCTGCCCTGCTTTGCTGCAGCAGGAACTGTGGTGCCCACTTCTCTGGGAGTTACCATGCTCTGCCTCTGCGGGCTGGCTCCAGCACCCTGCTCCTGCTGGACTGGGGTGGCAGGGCACTGGGGACAAGTCTGGGGACAGCAGCACTGCTCTCCTGCCATGCCAGCCTGCTGGTAACAAAATGTTGTTTGTTGTGGGGTTTGTTTGCAGGTTTTTGGGTTGTGGGGGGTTTTGTGTTTTTTTGTTTGGTTTGAGATTTTTTTTTTTGAGAGGTTCAGTAACTTTTCACCGTTCTATTTCAGTTGATCCTGTAAACGCAGCTCCCACCACTTCTACCCGTGTATTTTATATCAGCGTAGGTGTGTGCTGTGCTGTTATATTCCTGGTGGCTATAATATTAGCTGTCTTGCATCTCCACAGCATGAAAAGGATAGAGTTGGATGACAGGTATGTATTCAAGCTTTTCAAGTGCATTTTTGAGACACTTTTACTCAGATTTGTGGGTGTTCTTGTCTCAAAATGAGTGCTTTGTACTAGCTTACAATTTCTGCTCTTGGTATCAAGCTGTAACAATAACTACCTGTGCAGAGTTGTGGTAAGCGCTGTATTGCAGAAACGCAGTAGTTGCAGGTGCTCTGCTGTTTATGGGGTGGGAGGGTTGTGGCTGTTGGGTTTTTGCCAGAATAGTTGTGTGGAGGACACACTGTGGGGAAATTTGGACAGAACCAGATCTACAGGGATTGTCAGGATTGAAGGAAAATTTGATAGATACCTGGGCATGTTGAAAATAATTGTTTTTTACTGACTTCTATAGGAGATTGAATCTCAGTTTTCTCTATATTGATTGATTTAGCAGTATTCACTTTGACCTTAGGGTAAAGTCTGGAAATTACAACTGGTTGGTTATAAAGCTGAAAATGGGCTTGCTCTCAAATGTATCTGCAATCCAGAAACACTGAATTGGCACATGCATATGAAAAGGACTTGTAATGCGAGCTCAAGGGCAATACAATCAGCTGACTGGGGATTAACTGCTGAGGCGGAAGGGAGGCTGAGAAAACAGGTGGACTGAGGCTCTGCTGAGGCCTGTGAACAATCTGCATCAGGTGCCACCGTTCCGAAGCAGGCAGTTTTGAAATGGAATACTTGAGAAAACAGTCGGGCCTGTGGGTGGTCGCTCCTCTTGAAAGGATATTTTGAACAGTTTCTGTTCCTGCCTGCAGCCTCTCAGAGTAGCTCTATCTTTTAATCTTCCTTTCCATCCATTCATTGTTTCTTTCTGATTTTCTTTCTGCCATTTACTTCTCTGCTGTCCCCAGACCACTTGGTTTTTGGGGCTTGTTGGTGTAGTAAGTAGTAATGCTTTTTCAGAGCCTGATGATCTAACTATGTCTTGTCAGCTTTCATCAGTTCATGTCTGATTGTCTGCTGAGGGTTTTTCATCAACAGAAGGTGTTAAAGGATGTGCAGCTTGCTTTACTTCAGAAAGGAAAAGCATGACATTTATAGAGTACGTGAATAGTGTCATCTTTGAGTTTTTGAAAGGCTGTCTTAGCCTAGCAGTGACCAAATGTCCTTTCATCTACTCCGTTGTACTTGATTTCTGTGGAGATACAAGCTAAAAGTTTATCTAATGTTTTTACCCCGTGGCTTGCAGCAATTAAAGAATTTGCTCTAAATCAGTATATGGCCTCCTGATAATTTCTGTGAACTTTGTGCAGATAATGGGATTTAGCTTTTCAGAGAGCCACATGATGACTTTTTTTTTTTTTTTGAGCCCAAGGGTGCCTGACCTGACAAAACCTTTGATAGGCTCCTGGGTAAAAGCTGTGGTCAACTAGTGTTGTAGCAAAGGTGTAACAGGCAAAATGTGCCTGAAAATCAGGATCTGTGGAGTTTTGTTTTCAGAGCAGGCATTGTGCATAGGAACCAGCAAAGAGACTGTGAGGTGGAGAAACTGGTTCAGTGTTATGATTTCGCCTCAGTATTGTGCACTAGCGTTATATATGATCAGTGACTGCTTGAGGTAGCACCTAGTCAAAGAACTTGTTAAGAGAAGAAACAACTTCTGATTTGGTTTTAAGTAACGAGCTCAAAATGTTGCTGTAAAGAGGCTCTGAATCGAAGATAATGTCATTAGGGTTAATGACCTCCCAGGAGCAACAGAGGCTGAAAAACCCACTGCTGTTGCTCTTAATTTCAAAAACTAGAACTAAATAAAAGTGAGGAAGGTTGTTAAATAGAAGCTAAAACCAGGCAGCCGAGTTTACAGGCTGCACATGGACTATTTGAGAACACTGGAGGGAAAGTTAAGAGCAAATGCTTGCATACCTCCTATCAAAGGCACTTGAAAAAGTGCCAAAGAAAGTTGGCATGGCTTAACAGCAGGAGAATGGAGGTTATTAAAAGCAAGAAGGCATCGTTCAAAAAGCTGACAGAGTGTGCAAGTGAGAAAACTAAGAAAGCTCATAAACATGAGCAAGTTAAATGTAAAAAACAGAACAAAGCCAACCAGAAAGGTAGTTTTTCAAACTTGCAACAGGCATAAAAAGAGCAATTCCTTTTTCAAGATTGCCTGCAGCAGGAAGCCAGCCAAATAAATCTATAGGGCTAGTAGGTGATCAGGTTACAACAGGAGTTTCCAGCTGTAGCAGGAAAATGAAATGCAAGTTCCGCATCAGTGTTTAATCCAGTGACCGTGCCAGGACACTTCTTTCCAGGGAACTCACCGGAGACTGGATCATATCGAAGCAGCTTATAGATGGAATAGTGCAAACAGTTCAAATAAGCAATGATAACTTGCCAGCACCAGAGAATATTCATTCAAAAACTCTAAAGGAAGTTAAAGTGGAGTAGCTAGACCACCAACTGTGACTTTTAACCTTGTGCTAAAATCTGTGCTGCAACCTTACCCCTAGAAGACAGTGAATGTGGGAATGACTTTAAAAAAGGTTTCCAGAGAGAGATCAAGGCCAGCTATAAATCACTAAGCCTGACATTTGTATTGTGAAAATTGGTAGATTCTGTTCTAAAGAAAAAATTCAGTAGATGCATCTGTGATTATGGTATGATGGAAAAAATGGCTTGCCTTTTTAAGGAATCTTGCTTCAAAGCTAACAGTGGTCCTTGAGGGCATTGCCAAGGATGTGTAAAAATCCTACAAGGATGGCTAGCACTGCTTAGTCAGTGCTTGATAGCATCCCAAGAAACAAATGGAATGATGATTATTTGTCAAGGCAGATGGTTATACCCCAAAACGATCCCTTCTTTGTTCTCCTGATAAAGTCAGCAGAAGTGGAGAAGCTTTTATATTTCAAAAAAGGGAGGATGTTTGTGTGTGTTTGGGAGTGACATCAAACAAGCTTCTTCCAGTCCTGTTATCTGAGTTGGTAACAGGCACTGCCTTTGCCTGCAAACTTTCTCACCTGTTCTTAGGCCATTCCAGCTACAACTCTTTTTGTAGGATTTTGTCTATGAGGATAAGACACAAAACTGGAGCGAGTCCAGAGAAGGCCATGAGATTGATGCGAGGGCTGTAGCACCTCTGCTATGAGGACAGGGAGCTGTTCAGCCTGGAGAAGAGATGGCTCTGGGGAGACCTTCTAGTGGCCTTCCAGTACCTGAAGGGGCTCCAGGAAGGCTGGGGAGGGACTTGTGACAATGGCAGGGAGTGACAGGACAAGGGGTAATGGCTTGAAAGTGGCAGAGGGGAGATGGAGATGAGATGTGAGGAAGAATTTGTTTGCTGTGAGGCTGGTGAGACACTGGCCCAGGCTGCCCAGAGAAGCTGTGGCTGCTCCTCCCTGGAAGTGTTCCAGGCCAGGTTGGACGAGGCTTTGAGCAACATGGTCTAGTGGAAGGTGTCCCTGCTGATGGCAGGGGGGTTGGAACTGGATGAGCTTTAAGGTCCCTTCTGACCCAAGCCATCATGTCATTCTATGAAAACATCCTGCTATGGTTTAAGCTATGGTTTGCCTGTCTCTTGAATACTGCGTGCAGCTGTGGTCCTGCTCAAATAGGGTATCTCAAAAGCACGTTGTAGGTGGCCCTGGAAGGAGCAACAAGTATCTCTAGAAAGAGCAATGACAAAGTAGGCTTGGGCAGCTTGCTCTGTAGAAGAGGCCTGAGACAGGTACAGCGCTGAAGAGCAAACAACTGTTTGCAACAGTGAACTGTGGAATATCTTTTTGATATTTGTTCCAGCACAGGAACAGCAGATAGAGCTGGCAGCTGTCACGTCCCAAGCAAGCAAGGGGAGATCACTCTGGCTGGAAAGCTCGTTAAGCTTTGCAGGGTGTTACTTTGCAGCCTCTCCATTTGCTTCAGGCTGCTGCTTTCAGACTTTCGTAGTTGTTGATTCTCAGTGGGATGTTGGTACCACAAAACAAATGCATCCAAGTCTTCTCTGGAATATAGTAGTTTTGTTGTTTCTGGTGTGACAGGGTGATTCTTTCAATAAATGTTTTGTCACCTTGATTTTTTTCAAAAGTGGGGGAAAAATAATGGAAAACAGAGCAAATTCTGCAAAACAAATAGGAGGAAGTTGTTCATGCTGAAAGGACAGAAGTACTAAGATTTTTGAGTTACCTGAAATACATTTTAATGTGTGAGAGACTTTAAATTATTCTTTCAAAGTCTAGCCTGGAAAATAATCTGCTTTTAACTTTGATATGTTAATTTTGAATTTATTACAGTGACAAGCAGTCATGTTCATATCCATTTTTGTTTTAAAACAGCATTAGTGACAGCAGTAGCTCACAAGGTTTATCCCAACCTTCCACACAGACGACACAGTACTTGCGAGCCGACACGCCAAACAATGCAACACCAGTAACCAGTAAGTTAATCTAATTACAGACCCTCTTGGACACAGCCGGAGTATCTGGTGGTAGAGGTCTCACCAATTAGTGTTTTCATTTTGTTGCTACAGCCTGCAGAGGAGAGGAATGGGGGGAAAAAGCTTTACAAGGGTGATAACCCTTGATTTTTTTTGAAGGATTCATGATTTCTTTTTGTTTACAGCTTTGCTTTAAAGAACATTAAATAATTGAAAAGAGCAATGAATTAAAAGGAAGGGTGGCAGTGTCTTACATAACTCTGTGATAGACTGATACTAGCATGTTCTCTGTTAATTCTGTAATCGCTGAAGATACTTATCTGCAGTGTTTACTCCTCCAATTATTGTCTGTCTTTTCTAGTGAAGGGATATCCCTTACAGCATCGCTCCAGGGAAGGGACTGTTCAGACTATAGGGAAGCTGGATGATGTAGGGACACACTTGGTGTGCAGTTCCTTGGCAGTTCAGTCTCATTGTACTGACCATGAGCCTTTCCCTTGTGCTGGCACTGATGCTGCTAGGCTGCAGGAGAATTCAGGGAGCTGAGACAGCCAAAAACTGACTTCTTTGGTAGAGTGATGGGCTTTTGGTTGACTCGAGTCTGAACTGGCTTGTATCCTAGCTGTATAAGCACCAGGACTGGTGCTTAGAGGGTGTGGGTCTACATGACTGAGTGTTGGAAGAAGGCAGGGTTTAGCACAAATTCAGCTGGCTTAATCTGCTGCTGGAGAGCCTGCTTTAAAAGGTCTGAAGTGAAGTAGGTACTGAGGGTAAGCACCCTCAGTCAGTTTGCAGAGGCCACCCGGCTTGGTGGAAGTGTTGATCTGCTGGAGGGTGGGGAGGCTCTGCAGAGGGATCTGGACAGGTTGGATCCATGGGCCAGGACCAATGCCATGAGTTTCAGTAAGGTCAAGTGCTGGGTTCTACCCTTTGGCCTCAACAACCCCCAGCAGTGCTCCACGCTTGGGGAGGAGTGGCTGGAGAGCTGCTCAGCAGAGAGGAACCTGAGGTGTTGATGGACAGCAGCTGAACATGAGTCAGCAGGGCGCCCAGGTGGCCAAGAAGGCCAATGGCATCTTGGTCTGGATCAGCAAAGGTGTGGCCAGTAGGACCAGGGGAGTTCTCTTCACCCTGGACTGGGTACTGGTGAGGCCGCAGTTCGAGTGCTGGGTTCAGTGTTGGGCCCCTCACTCCAAGAAGGACATGGAGGTGCTGGAGCGTGTCCAGAGAAGGGCAACGGAGCCGGGGAAGGGTCTGGAGCACAAGTGTGATGAGTTCACAGCTGAGGGAACTGGGGT